AGGATGACGGTGGTGGTGAACAACTTGATCGCATTTATGAACGTTTGGATGCACTAGATGCATCAACTGCCGAGAAGCGTGCTGCTGAGATCTTATATGGTCTTGGATTCAACAAGAAGATGCAAGCTAAGAAAACACGAGATTTTTCTGGTGGCTGGAGAATGAGGATTGCTCTAGCAAGGGCACTATTCATGAACCCCACCATATTGTTGCTCGATGAACCCACAAATCATCTTGGTAAGCTTGCTGAGTCAATACAGCTTTCTTTGATGTATCAACAACATATGTATTTACTGCCATGAGTTAAAAAGTTTGTTTATATTGGGGGATTTGTGGTTCAGAATATCATCAGATTGCTTTGGGATATAGCTAAATGCATATTTATTGCAATGAGTAAAGAGTTTGTCTATATTGGTGGATTTGCGGTTCTGTATATCATAATGTGGATGTCACTTGGTTTTAGAATTTGAAATATCTGATAAAATGGTTGATGATTTTGTGATTGCTATGGGGATGACTGTTATGAAACCCAACTATTTTGTTGCTGGGTTACTCACTTTTGATGAACCCAAAAATTTTATTGGTAAGCCTTTTGATTTGTAAAATTTTCCAACCAATATGGACAGCATTGAGGGATATCTATAGTTGATTAATTTTTTTTATATAAATTACATAGTGGATTACATGTAAATGTATTATTTTTTCTTTTTATATTGAACCTAGTTGATTTATTTATCGCATAATCTTTTTAATATCTTAAATGTCATGTTATTCTTATATAGGGGTTGTTTGAAGAAGTTGTTGATAAAAGTTTTAGCTGATTTTGATAAAAATTGATGTAATACGTGGTTGAAAAATTGATAATGTCATTAAAATTGAGTTTCACCAGTTGAAAGTTGATAAAATTATAGAGTTTATCAAAGAAAGCACAAATCCTCTTGCAATAATGATCAATGCCCCAGATATTTTAACATTCTATTATTCTTGAAGTATTGCTGTTGACACTTGACAAGAAACTTCTCTCAATTGCAGACTTAGAGGCTTGTGTCTGGTTGGAGGAAACATTGAAGAAATTTGATCGAATTCTGGTAGTGGTTTCACATTCCCAGGATTTTTTGAATGGAGTCTGTACTAATATCATCCATATGCAAAATAAGTCATTGAAGATCTACACTGGTAATTATGACCAATATGTTCAGACACGTTCTGAACTCGAAGAGAACCAGATGAAACAGTACAAGTGGGAGCAGGAGCAGATAGCGTCTATGAAGGAATATATTGCACGTTTTGGACATGGATCTGCCAAACTAGCTCGTCAAGCACAGAGCAAAGAGAAAACTCTGGCAAAGATGGAGCGTGGTGGGCTCACAGAGAGAGTGGTCAGGGACAAGGTTCTGGTTTTCCGATTTGTTGATGTTGGGAAGCTCCCTCCTCCTGTTCTTCAATTTGTGGAAGTAACTTTTGGCTACACTCCTGATAATCTCATCTACAAGAATCTTGATTTTGGTGTAGACCTTGATTCTAGAGTTGCACTGGTAGGACCCAATGGGGCTGGGAAGAGTACGCTACTGAAGCTGATGACAGGTGATTTAGCTCCTCTTGATGGAATGGTGCGGCGTCACAACCACTTGAGGATCGCTCAATTCCATCAGCACTTGACTGAGAAACTTGATATGGAACTGTCTGCTCTACAGTTCATGATAAAAGAGTACCCTGGTAATGAGGAAGAGAAGATGCGGGCATCTGTTGGGAGGTTTGGGCTTACCGGTAAAGCTCAAGTGATGCCCATGAAGAACTTGTCAGATGGTCAGAGGAGCCGGGTGATTTTTGCATGGTTAGCTTTTAGGCAACCACAAATGCTGCTGTTGGATGAGCCAACTAACCATTTGGATATCGAGACAATTGACTCCCTGGCTGAGGCTTTGAATGAATGGGATGGTGGCCTGGTTCTTGTTAGTCATGATTTTAGGCTCATAAACCAGGTGGCCCAGGAGATATGGGTGTGTGAAAATCAGGCTGTGACTCGGTGGGAGGGTGACATCATGAAATTCAAGGAGCACTTGAAGGCAAAGTCTAATTTGTCTGATTGAATCAGATAATGTGATGGGTCGACTTGTATCAGAATTAAGCAATACAACTAGTAGCTATCCTGGCTATAGCTTTCGATGCAGTGCATCAAGAATCTTCAGAATGTTTTATGCAAGTGGATTATGACGAGAGCCAAGGGAGAGGGAAGAAGTTTGTAGCAGCTACATCATTCTTTTGAGCCTGAGCCTTTACGTCGTCAGCCAATTACAAGCNGGTAATGGGATGCATAAACATTATTCCCTTTATAGACATAAAAATCACTGTTCTCAATTTTATATATATCATGACACATCGACAAACTCATAGAAAATGTCTTTAAAATCTAAATATAGGTTTTGAAGTAAAATATAAATCCTCAGAATGTTTTATGCAAGTGGATTATGACGAGAGCCAAGGGAGAGGGAAGAAGTTTGTAGCAGCTACATCATTCTTTTGAGCCTGAGCCTTTACGTCGTCAGCCAATTACAAGCTGAGTTCACATTTTCTTTATTACGGATTTACCATACTTTAACCTATTATTATTTTTCACTACCTATTGAGAAAAGGTCGTCTCCAATGAATATTTTTTTGTGGAGGAAGTCAGGCTGTACCTATCGTTGTTGAATATTACTTCTATTTATCATGACCAATGAGGTTAAGCATTTCGATGATGTCTCTTTTGTTAGTCACATAGTGATGCTAACGTTCCTTCCTTCGTTTATCGTTTATCAAAGATATCTTAAATAACTCAAAATTCAAAATTTTTGATCTGAACGCACCAATGACCAAAAAGAATCTCTTGAATTTTCTCTTTGCGTTGCTGCAAATAAAATGATAGTTCATCTCACTTAAAGCTTCAATCTTCCATTCATTTTCATTTATTCTTTCTTCTCTCTCTCTCTCTCTCTCTCTCTCTCCTTTTTCTATAAATCACAAAATAACAAGTTATTTTAAATTGTTACCGTATATTTTCACTAGATATCAAGTCCATTTTTTAACATTACTAGTGAGCGCACGTGCAAGGCACGTGTCGTAGTATAGTTGGCTACGTAATAGTATTGACTGATTTGTAATTATTTTTGAAGACATTACTAATTAAATCTTATTTAGCAAAACTTCTTCTATAGAAAACTTGAAAGTTGAAACGAAAAATAAAATTGGATTGCTAAAAGTTGAAACCAATAAAACTTGGTAGGTAGCATAACCCCCATCTAGAGATGATGAAACTTCAAACTAATAAAATTCGATTGCTTGCTCAATTTCATTGCTGGATTTTGAGAATGAAATTAAAACGAGCAAAAACAACATCGTAAGAGTTGACGATAGGTAATTGCGGCACGTGTGCAGGATAGAAAACTTGCTCATGTGTTGTAATTTAGTTTGCTATATAATAGTGTGGAGTGATTTTTAGTTATTTTACACAAACTTTGGACGAAATCTTTATCTGAAGATTGAACTATAAGTAAGGTAATGTCAACATCCCAAATATTCAAATGCAGCCTATTTCTGCTCTAGGAAACTAAGAACTTAAGCTATTGAATCTCATCATATCAGGAAAAGGCGAAACATAAGGAATTGTTCCTCAATAAACAAGCCACATGGAAACATGAGTACCCTCATAGTGCTTTATATTCAACACATCCTATTTCTCAATCAACCAGAATGAAATTCAACATGAAATGTTTAGCCAAAGGAAGACCGAATAATTTTCTAGCAGTTGACATTACATACAAACGATACAGCAGGCATAATTACGTAGAACAACAATACCAAACATATGGTATACGATATCATGTTTGTGCCAATGAAGTCTTAATAACTAAGTTGTTTTATAACGCCAATGCCCATTTCTAATAAAGAAAAGCAGCAAACTAAAGACCACAATCACATCAAGCATTTTCAATATATGCGTTGTACTATATGCATGATCGAAGAAAAAATAGTAAT